CCCCAAAACCCCAAAACCCCAAAACCCCATGAGGAAAATTTTCTAAGAATCACAAAGTTAGAAATAATATAAATTATAATGGATAGAGGGTAATCAAGAGAGGAGGTTGTTCGAAGTACAAAGAAGGACATATTGCAGTAGATTAATGAAATGTACACACGCAAGGATAAGGTAGTTTAAGTGTATGTGATTGATAATCCAATAGATTAAGACAGATGCTAAGTATTTGATACCGACCAAAGCTACTCTCTTTGGATTAGATGTAAGATTCAGAGCTATAGATTAGAAACTTGAGGATGATAAAAGTACAATATTTTATAATTAAAAAATCAAATTTAGGGAAACGAAATGCATACAAAAATAAATCAAGGGGTAAACGCTCAATGAACAGAAGCACGAATGAAATCGATGATCAGTTTCAAGAATAAAACTATTCTTTGAATAGGCATCAATTACCAGTTCCAAAATAACTCTTGTCTATTGAAAAGATCAGAAGATAGGAGAATGCTAATAAATAATAGGATGGGGAAAGTGTAATTCCAAGTGTACTAACATTGAAAAATGACGGCTTAAGAAGTTTAAAGTAATCATTGCAGAGAAAGCAGACCACAGGGCATAACTTAGAAGAGCTGAGAATTAGGATGTATGCTACTTAGAGTGGGTTTAATAAGACAGCCAATATTAATGCTGGAACGATGAGCATTAACGATAATATTTTCAATAACGGAAATGGCAATGCAAATAATAGCATGCTAATTAATAAGCAGAGTGTATTACTAAATTCTCCTAAAAGTCCCAAAAATGATCCTAAATATAAGAATAGCAGTACACTTAATGAAATTTAGTTGCTTTAGACGACATAGCTATCAACAGATGCATCTTAATTTACGTAACTTACTCCGAACAAATTTCCATTTTTGGAATAGAGCTAAGTATCAAGAAATAATGCAACACTGCCTTTAAATACCTCATCTTTTGGAGTATCAAAAGATATAAACTTAAATCAGACTTCTTCATTGGCTATCCCAAGTATTAAGCAACATTAAGCAGCTAGTGCTATGGATTATGAGCCTCAATCAAAGATTAAATATGGCACATGCTATGATAACTTAATTGAAGAAAGATTGAATTAGAATGTTGGCAAGAATTTATCATTTATTAAGCCTGAGAGAAATAGATCAAAGAAGGAGTTGACAGAAGAAGAAAAACTGATTAAGCATCAGAAAAGATTGTTAAGGTCTCCAAGAGATGCACTTATTGATAACACTAAGATTTAGCTCACTAAGATGAATACTAAGCTTAAGCAATAAGAACTTGCAGAGAAAATGCTAGAAAGACAGAAGTAATACAATATATCAAATGATAACAATGCTAATCAAGTAGAAGAATAATTAGGATATTAGCCTTAAGTCATTAAACGAGCTAAGCTTTTCAATGATGAGGATTACCTAACTAATCTTGAAATGATAGAAAAGCAAGCTAGAGAGCTAGAAGAAGAGCTTGAATTAGAAGAAAAAGAAAAAAAGTTCAAATAAAAGATTAAAAGATAAATATAGAGAGATCAGTAATAACTTAGATAAAGCTCAATAAATGCAGAGAGATAGGATTCACTTTAGAAAACAAAAAATCCTCGAAATTTAGCAGATGATGATGATTTCCTTTTTGGGGAGACTATTAAGATAGAATTTCCTAATACAAATTTTCTTAGTAGAGGAGGAGTTGGAGGATAAATGTCTAAATTCTATATGACTTAAAAAGGAAATAACTAGAATGCCCCTAATCCATCTCATTCTCCAATTTTAGTGAAGAGAAACATGGTTATTTAGAAGGTTAAATCACAACATAGGAGTCTTCATGTGACTTAAAATATAATCAAGAAAACAGCACTACCCTCATAACTTACTCAAATTGAAAAATTGAAACTTAAAGAATTAGTAGCAGTAGAAGTATAAAAGTATAAGGAAATGGCTGAGAAGATGTTTAGTGAAAAAAAGAATTGTAAGTGATACCCCTATGTGTTTATATTTCTAAAGGGTCTATAATGATTTCAGATGACATGAATTTAGAAAGAAATGATGTAATGAAAGGAGTTAAGTTTGAGCAATTGTAAGTATCTTGATTTTATATCCAAATTTAGGAAAAAGAGATTTATGCATGACTTCATTAGAAAAACAAAGGAATAAATAATCAAAGATAGATATCCTAATAGCTAAGACTTTAATCAGTAGCATTAAAATGTCATATTCTCTGAAACTCTCAAAAATCTAGCAAATAAAAAGATAGGAGAAAAATAGGTTGGATTATCTGCTTAAAAATAAAATATTAATCAACCCTCAAATTATCCCTCACAGATAAACTTAAACATTAGCCTCAAGAATAAACCACAACTAGAGGTTCCCAAGAATACTTAAAGTAAAGACAACAGAGATAACAGTTTGGTATCAATGAGTTAACTTCATGCCATCTAGGAGACTCCTTCTCATGGCAGAGGATCGAATGAGCATGAGTAGGTGGAATATGACAAATTCAAGAATGACTTTATTGATTATATGAAAGGTATCGTTACTAAGGGAGGAACTTCTACCTTAGCATAGATGGGAATAGGGTATGGTGGTACTCAGGCTAATCTTAAATACAAGCGTAAAAAGCTTAGAATGGATGAAACTGTTGAGTAAATAGGTCAAAACATTAGAAACTCCATCATTTAGAGTAGAGCTCAGCATGAAAGAGTTGGTGTGATTGAATTGTAAAGTTTAAAATAAAACTATAGAGGACTTTAACACTAAAAAACAGGCAATCAAAAAGAAGTCACTGCCAATTGAAACTTTATTTATTTGGAAAAAATATTGAGATTAAGTTGCTTATTTATGAAATTAAAAACTTAACATATATATAGAATTTTTAAAGCCTTGATTTACTAAGGGAATTTCATTAATTTCTTTAATTGCATCAGTCCAATAAAATCATTCCTCTATTTCGTCATGCAGACTTGTATTGAATAATTTTCCAAAGTAATGTATACTAATAAAAAATGCTGTACTCTATAATGATGCTAAGATACACTTGGCTCCTATGCCCTTAGTTAGTATATGTAGACCTTCCTCCTTAAATATTTATTATGCATTTAGCTTAGACCCACTTTGCTGTCTAACTACCACCACCTCTAGACAATTTGTAAACTAAGCTGCAAATAACGCTCCTATTACTGAACCCTTTACAATATAACTTGTTTCATTATCTTTTAATACCCTATAGCCATACTTTCTAACTATATAATCAATGTAAAGTTCATATATGGTCATCTAAATAGAATACTATCCAATGTAAGCTAGTGAAAAAGCAGACGACCCTCTATATAGTCCATGAATAGAGTCTTTTCTTATAATTTTGATGATTGCATCACTGACATTTCTGTATTGATATTTCTCATTACTAGTAAGTAGTCTTACTTTAATTAGCTCATATGGGTAATAGATGATCAATGAGAGAAATTCAGCGATTATAGAAGCTGATGCGTATATAAGAGCATTGCCATGGGCTGTTTTAGGCTAAAAATAGTCTTTCATTTGAACTTTGATACCTTTATACATGAAGAAGTAAAAATATCCCGAAACACTAGAACTGTAGAATGTTGCAGAATAGCCCTTAAATAGCCCATAGATTCCGTCAGCTTTAAATATTCTCTTAATCATTTCGTTAATGTGGATATTTTCATGCAACAGCTTCGATCTTATGTTAACTGCATCGACGAAGTAGAATATACTCTCTTAAGTTAGTATAGTCAATGATCCTGCTGCACCCAATCTCATTATCTCAACATCAGATTACTAGGCTTTTATCAAAGAAAGTAAATAGACTGAGCTGAAAGTTGTTATGAATAACCCGAATCTAAAGCTCGGGTTCTGAATTGTATTCACCAGGAAGTTATACTTGGGTATCCTATGATGAAATCTGGGAGAAGCTCTGATATTGTTCTGAAACTGCTTATAGATCTTATTGTTCATTTATTGTTATGTTTTAGAATGAGGTGAATTACTTTATCTTCAATTACAGATTGATTTTAAAATTACCATTAAATTTGAAATAATTTATATTTGTGTTGTAATCGCTATAGGCAAAAGACAATCTACATGGGGTTTTGGGGTTTTGGGGTTTTGGGG